GAGCGGCGCCCGCCGCAGGTGCGCGGAGCAGCCCCGTGCGCACGCGGGCCCGAAGGACTCCGGGGGCGGGGTGTGTGTGTGGGGAGGGGTGCCCAGGCCATCCCCACCCCGCGGGAGCCGCGCCGAGCGCTCCGGCCTCAGGTTGGCGATGCGCAGGGGGGGCGGCTGACAACCCTACACGCCCCCCCCCGCCTTCCTCGAAGCTCCTTTCCGAGCCGGCTGCTCCCCCCGCCCCCCCTCCTCTTCTCCCCACCACCTCCGCCTCCCTCCCCTCGCCAGGTCGTGCCCTCCAGGCTAGGCAGGCAGCTAGTCTCCTGCAGCGGCCATTTGTTGCGCCGGGCTCATCCAAGCAGCGGTCCTTGGACTCCCTCTCCCCACCCCACCCCACCCCCCGCCCCTGTGGAGAGGCAACAACCTGTGAAAGAGCTAAGTTTTCATTTCTCTCTTCTGAATGAAATCTACCTTCTCCCAACGCTAGGCATCTGGGGCCATCTTTGGACAACCCTAGGCATACAGGGGGGGCAAGGCCCGGTGGTATTTGTTTAGCCAGATCAAGCTGAGATCAAAAGACAGCATCATTATCCTAGCCCTAATGCAAGACCTTCCCCCCTACTGTTGGGGTTTCCAAACTTTTTTGGGGGGATCTTTTGTTCAACATCCATGGCTTCTGAGATGTTCTTCAAGCTAAAATAAACTAGGAACTTCTTTGTAACACGTGTACACACACACACACACACACACACACTACACTACACTGGAGCCTCCACTTGGCATCAGCCAGGTCGGTTGTGGCTAGCCAGGAGCCTTTCTGAGGGTTTGCCTCCTGCTCCGTCCGCTCTGTGCGTGCCAGATAACTTTCTGGCTTACAGAACAGTGTCTTGTGCATTCCTTTGGGCTCTTTCTAGACTGCCAGAAGAGGCTTTTTTTTGGAGGTGTGTTTAGGTAACTATCAAGAGAAGGAGAGGAACCATAAAGGGTTAACCTGAAGGAAGTACTGCTTTATTCTTTCCTTTGAGCTCCTCCAACCGCAGTAGTTGCTGTTGATAAGTAGTGATGGGGCCAAGCACCGCCTCCCACACAGCTCTGGTCTGGCATCTAGCTCTTCACCTACCACTGCCCAGCTGTGTTACCTAAGGCCAATCGCGTCTGCTACAGGCCTCAGTCTCCCAACTCTAAAATGAAGGGTTGAGCTAGATCTAGGTGACATTCAGGTCTGACTCTGCTCAAAAGGATGAAGGCTGCCCCATCCTTGGTGCCTGTGGGCCTTGGCCAGCAGGATGCTGTCTCAGATTCCACCATGAATCTTTGCCAATCAGTCACCCATGACTGAACTGCTAAGGCTGGCTGGAGGCCAGATTCTCTGCAGCTGGATTGGGAGAGATAGAGCACTTTCCATCTGGGCACAAAGCAAGCAAGCAAGCCTGGACTTAAAGGAAACAGGAGAGTCTGGAAACATGTTGAGCCTCCCTAGGAAATGTAGTCCTAAACCCATGATGGAGATGGAGCTCCACAGGCTCAGAAGCTGGGCTGGGCAGCCCTCACCAACATGGAGGCCTGGAAGGGTTGGAGATTTCTGTTCTCCGTTCAGAGGACAATGATTCTGATGGCCTTATTATAGAACCAAAGCAGGACTTGGATGGGTTTTTTTTATTATTATTTTTAAATAGAACCCAAGATGATGTATAAGTCAGGGTCTATAGCTGAACCAAGATGAGCAATAGTTCTGTTGAATGCAGTAAGAAGAACTGGGCTTCTTCAAGCTTCCCAAAGACCCAGCAGAAGGCAGCGTCTGTAAAGCAGATGCACTGCCCATCCCTTAGTGATAATGCTAACATCTGGAGTAAACGATGGTGACTATTGTGCATACAGTAAAGGTGGAATTATAAGTCACCTTGGAATAAAAAGGGTGGTGTGAATGACGAAATAAAACAGGCCCCAGGGAAGCGGCATCAGATGCCAGCAGACTTTGACACCTCTTTGAATTGTTCTGTGCCTTCACCTCCCAGGGCAATTCTTGGTTTAATAATATACCCCAAGTTGGAAACTAGGCTAGACTTCACACAGAGAATTTCAGAATTTGCCTGCAACTCTGTTTGAAAACTTGCAAGCACACTGCTTTTCAGTAGCCGACTAGGATTCTTGGGAGGAAGGGGAGATTAAATTTTGAATTCAATACAATTCAATACATTTGGAATGGAGCAGCTATGGGCATAAACTCCGATTACTGCCACTGGCCCTCAGCCTAAATTATGGGTGAGTGTTTCAGTCATTCAGATTCAGAGACATGCAAAAGGAAGTTATTAATATACTTTTACAAGGTTAAGAACTTTAAATATTTAGTGGGGTGCCAGTAGTTTATATCTGTAGCTACTTAGAGGTTGAGATGAGGATCATGGTTTGAAGGCAGCCAGAGCAGACAGGTTTTTGAGTCTCTTATCTCCAGTTAATCAGCACAAAAAGCAACAAGTGGAGATATGGCTCAAGTGGTAGAGTACCAGCCTTGAATAAAAAAGCCAAGTAAGAGGGAGAGGCCCTGAGTTCAAGCCCCACTACTGGCAGATTCAATCAAAACTGTCCTTATTACTGGCTATGGGTTGAGTAGCCAGACTGAGAAGGTGGGAAAAGACAAGAAGCAGCTTTGCTTGTCTTGCATAAATTAACATTCTGCAGCCTGTCCAAAAATGTCTTTGAAAATCTTCAAAAGAAGCCCTGCATGTATTGAAGTAGTAGTTTCATGCTCAGAAGAGCCCTGGCCAGGGAGTCAGGACCAGGTTAGTCTCCAGACTCTGCTCATCTTAGCTTCAGTAAGCCTGGATGTGTGAAACCCTTTCAGAACT